ATCAGTGAAAGAGAGATAGAGTGCACGCCCCGCCATCACGCCTTACCCATGCCCTTGGGCTCAGATGTACCTGAAACAAATCAACAACCTGTAAGCGAAATGCTTAGTGAGTCCCCCAGAGCATACCACACACAATACACATACACATATCCTGTTAGCTAATTAAAGCTATACACATATCACATAAGCCATGCATACATAAAACATGTAAGAATGCCATGGGCTACCCCACATTGTCTTTAACTAGGACTGCCATGAACTACCACATATGGTCTTACATCCAATGCCATGGGCTACCCTACATGGTCTTACATCCAATGCCATGGGCTACCCCACATGATCTTTACCTAGGACTGCCATGGGCTACCCCACATGATCTTTACCTAGGACTGCCATGGGCTACCCCACATGGTCTTACATCCAAAACACACCATCACATATCATATCAAATCACAGAATGACTAATACATAAATCATAATCACATAATGGGTCGGCCTTGGTGCCTTAGACCGATGGGTATGGTGAGAAGACTCACCTCATTCTGCTGAATACAAAAGCTGCTCTCCTAATAGTCTGTAACCTCCCGTGCTAAAAGATAGCATTAACCAATGTTAGGATTTTAATTAATCGAAGGAAACCCAAACTCCAAACCCTTCCATGAGGCCCAATAATCCTTTCCTTGTTGATAGGCCCCAAAGTCCAAGTCCAAGATCATTAATGGGCCCCTTAGCCCAATAAGGCCCCATCCATATGTCCATGGCCCAAAACAGATAAAAGGCTCGAAATTCCCAGAATATAACCATATCCAATAACCAAATGAGCCCCATTAGCTCAAAGGCCCAAAACAGATTTGGGCCCAACTGTGATGCGTACGCTTGGCGTACCATCCTGGTACGCGCAACGTACTGGGGTCTTGGGGACTACGCGCGGCGTACACTGGGTTACGCCCTGCGTACAACCAGGTTAAGCACTTCCTCCATTAAGTGCTTAATACACGATTCCTTTACGTCCAAAAGTCAGATCTAAGCTTGATAAGACGTCCTAAGGCATAAAGTTAGCAACTTTATGCTTTTGCATGCCATAAATGTACCCAATAGCCCCATTTAGACCTTTCCAAGGCTCTTAACCCATGCATGAGGTCCAAAATCCCACCAAGACTCCATTTTTATGACATTAAAGGACCAAGGGACCTCAGATCTGTCATTCCCATCTACTGGAGTTGCTAAACTCACAAATGGAGGTCCAAAATCCACAAAAGGAACAAATCTAGAAAACCCTAGCTAGATCTAGAGACTTAAGTGGAAAGGTGCAAGATTTTTACCTCCAGGAGCTTTGCAAGATGACCAATATGCAGATTCTTGAAGCACCAACTCGAATCAAGCTTGTTAGCAACTCCTTCCTTCTTGAAAGAACTCTAAAATGGCCACAAAACTCACTCCTTAAGCTCCAAAACCCTCAGACGCACTATCCCTTCCATGCAAGAGTTGTGATGTCTTATTGGGTTAAGAACTTAGGGTTTTAGACATTAAGCAATTTATAACCATTTAAAGTCATAAAGTTGGAAACTTTATGACTTAGGACATCATTTTGGGCTTGGATCTGAGTTTTCGATGTACGAACTTAATGGAATAAGCTCTTAATGGAGTTTTGGGACTGGGCTGAGTACGTTGGGCATACCTGGTGGTACGATGCGCGTACACGGTCAACACCCTGCTATTGGTCAACATCAGAATATGTTGGGCGTAGTCTCTTGGTACGCAGGGTGTACTCCGTTGGGAAGAAATATTGACTTTTGGACCTTAACCGATGACTTTCACTTTGACCAGGGTTGACCAAGTTTGACCTAAGGGTATTTTGGGTTATCAGGTTAATTATTGATTAAGATTGTATTTATTGTTAGTTGCCGCGAGGTCATCCGGTTCGGCGGTTCGAGCAGTTATTTGATTATCAACGGATTGAGGTGAGCTTTCCTCACTATACTTTCGGATCGAAGACACCAAGGCCGGCCTAATGGATTATTATCCTGGTTTATTACATGTTGGTATACTGTAGTGATCTGTTAGACATGTATCCTGGTGTGTAGGATGAGGCTATGTTTAGTGATCTTTAAGATCTGTCTGCTTGTCTGTTGACTGGTTATATGTTTAGTTGTGTATATTTGTGCCATAGTGTGGGTGGGTTGAGATTGTACTTCTTTGTGCTTTCAGTCAACAAACCCGATAATGTTTATATCGATATGTTGTTATGGTTTACTAGGCTTTATATATGTTTATCTGTTATGTACATGCCGACATGTTACATGTGGTTGGGTTGAGGCGGACCCGTGGAGACTGAAGGCCAAGAGACCCAGGGTGGCCCAGATAGACTGAACGCCCGTGAGGCGGACCAGTCAGGCCGAAGGCCCGGAGAACGGTCCAAATAGGCTGAAGGCCCGGTGAGGCGGTCCAGTCATGCTGAAGGTTCTGTGAGCGGTCCAGATAGTCTGCAGGCCTGCGAGGCGGTCTATTAAGGCTGAAGGCTCTGTATGCATGTTGTTTGTTGGTATATGTTATCTGTTCGTGTGGTGGTATTTTAGGGGAACTCACTAAGCTTCGTGCTTACAGTTTTGGTTTATGGTTTCAGGTACTTCAGTGGACTGTGGCAAGGTGAAGGCGTACTGTACACATCCTTGGTTTTCAACTGATTTGATCTTGGGAGACTCTGATTTTAAATAATGTTTTGAAAATAATGGTTTTGTAACACTACTATTATAAAAAAAGGGTTGTTTTGAAAAGTTTTAAATTTGTTGAATTTTTGGGATGTTACATATTAACCTCAGAAATGGCTAAAAGGGTGTCCAAGGGTTCTAGAGTAGCTCATACTCACAAGAACCAAATCCATAGGACGAATAACAGATAAGGATTCACCAACCAACAGATCTAGCAATTGAACCTTCAAGGTGGGAGCTTTTTACCTTCTGAAGAAGCTAGATGAACAACAAAATATGGATCTACAAGCAATGGACTCCCAAGAGCTCCTCCAATGATCACCTTCTTCACAAAACACACAAAATATCACTCTAAAAGCTCAAGAATCTCACAAGGTGGCTAGGGTTTCGAAATGGTGCTTTGGGACAGTGGGGGTTGGTGATGAGGGATGCCTCAAGGACTTAAGGTTCTTTAAATAGGGTCTAAACCCTAAAAATTAGGGTTTGGAGTCTGCATGAGTATGCCTTGCGTACTCCTCATGTACGTTCTGCGTACTCAACGAGGTCCGCGTCCAAACTTAAGTGACCTATGCCCGACGTACGCACCAAGTTAGCCCTGCGTAGGGACTGACTTTGCAAAATTTTGTTATTTTAAGTTGGAAATGAAAATACCTAGAAACGGATGTTATACCACAACTTCTACAATGACCTTCCTTCAAAATCAAAAATGCACCAAAAATCACTCTCAAGCTCCAAAATTCTCTCTAAGGGACTAGGGTTTCTAGATGGGGGCTAAAGGGGATGGAGGCTGGTTATAAGAAAGGTCTCAATGGGTTAAGGTCTTTAAATAGGGCTCAAAACCCCAAAAATTAGGGTTTGCACTCTGCGCCACTACGCCCTGCGTAGGGCATAAGATCACCGCATGAGTTAAATGAATTACACCCTGCGTAATTCCCAATCTACGCCTTGCGTAGACTCTTATTTCTCAAAAATTATAAACTTTAAAATCATAAAAAAGTATACTTGAGGAAAAGGTGTTATAAATTTGTATAATTTCTAGAAATTCATATAATTTCTAGAAAGAACACACATGGAAACCTTGACTACTTTGTATCGTGGTCTTTGGTTAGTATCCTAGAAATTGTACCAACTTTAATTGGTCTACTTTAACTTATTCGTTTCTTGATTCATAGAAGTTTTTAACACTTTGTAACATCTTGCTCGAAATTGTTATGACTTTTAAATTGTGAGTTGCTAATAATTTTTAGCCATAATTTTACTGCTTGCAAGATTTTTGTTAATCCACTTCGTTAAGCTTAATATGTTACAATTTTTTTTTCTATTTTGAAGTAAATCTTCTCGTCATCCAATAAATCTTTGTCATCTCATAGAGCAAAAACATTAAAAGACACTTGCATTTTTACCGTTTTATCTATTTATCTATATGGCTATTTCAATATTATTCTATCATTCTATGTACTACTTGAACAATTTTAATTATTTCTTGAAAAGCCATTTTCTAGTTATCCAAATTTTTAATATCAAACTAGAAAGGTTAAGCCCGCTACGCGGGGGCCAGAAGCTTTCAATGTTGTTTCCGAATCGATAAATATGACAGACGTAGAAAGTGCAAGGATGACAAGCCCGGGCTTTGCCCCGAACCGTTTTGTTCATGTTTTTATGAAAAGATGTAAAAGTTTTGACTGCAAGGACCAGAAGTGTCAAAATGGCTAAAGAATTAAAGCGGTAGGAATTAGCAAGTTTTTAGAAAAGGGATCAAAGTTGTCGAACCGTTAAAGTTTTGTGGCCAAAGTTTAAATATTAAAAGGTTCCTAAATAGAAAAGGGATCAAAGTTGTCAAACCGTTAAAGTTTTGTGGCCAAACTTTAAATATTAAAAGGTTCCTAAAAAATGTAAAAATATCGATTACAATAACCAAAAGTGTCAAAATGACTAAAAAATGAGGACCAAAGTTGCCAAAGTACAGGGACCAATTCTGCCAAAGTCCAGGGACTAAAATATACAAAAATTATGGAAAGTTCACTATTCATAAGAAACAATTTCCATAATATATATATATATATATATATATATATATATATATATATATATATATATAATAACCATGTGCAAAATGAGGTTGTTACAAAACAATTGTTTAAATTGGTCAACAACAGTTATAGCTCACTCGTTACACCATTTGACCAAAACATTTTACTCGGTTTCTTCGGTCAACTTTTAACTCCCCTCAACCAAAATCATTGATCATTCCTATATATTCAGATTACACTTCTATCTCCATATATACAACCAAGCTCTCTCATATGAACTATCACTGACACTTAACGTCAACCCACTTTATCTTGTACGCCGTGCATTAAGTGTTGTACTAAAAAAGATATGGAGAGTGCTTGTGTTTATGAACAGACAACAGTCATCCATGAGCTCACTCAAGGAATAGAAATGGCTAAACAGCTAAGGCTCAATCTAAATTCTGCTGAAGCTAGAGAATTCTTGATACATAAGATCTTATCTTCATATGATAAAGCTCTTTTTACTCTTAAATCAACCGGGCAGCCTCGGGCAAATCCACTGCCCGAATCCAGTTTGCCCAAGTCATCCATATCCACAGTCAGCCCTAAAAGCGGAGAATTTGAGTTTGGGTTTGAGTTTGACGAAAATGCTGTTTCCAAAAAGAGGTATTTTGATTTTCACTTCTCGTTGTTTCTTTATTCTACACTTAAATGAATGAGCAGAATCTAAATCTTGTTTCTTGATTGGTGTTTACAGAAAGGCATCAACACCATGGGAAGATGAAGTAGAGGGTAACACTAATGATGTTTACAGTTGGAAGAAGAGAAGAGATGAAAATCCAACAGTATACAAAGGGATACCCACCTGCAACAATGTCGTACAGTCGGCACCACCACCGCCACCGTCGCCGGAAAAACATGAAATAAAGCCAACCCACCACCACCAACAACTATCAACACCGAATCCTGGAGAGGTTCTCTCAAATCTCAGAGCAAACCTCAGTGTTAACACGTGGGACTTGAGTGCCATTCTTCCATCTTCATTTTCCTTCCCTTCAACATCAACACCATTTGGATTCAGTGATGATGATTTTGAAGCACTTAGTTTTCCTAATCGGTTTGATGATGAACTATTGCAAGTCTATTCACCACCTTTTATCTCTCCGGACACCTCTGAATCTAACTACCTCACAGACTGGGGTATTTCTTCATCACTGGATTTCACAAGCGATCCGGAAGATCTATACCCTGATTTCACATTATTTAACAACTGTTTCTTATGATAGATAGCGCTCAAGAACTACAGAAGGAATGAACAAGAAATAAATGATTCATTATTAGAGTTCCCAGTTGCAGACTGAGGCTTGCTAGAACTATGTTTGTACATATTTGAAATGTAAGATTTTATAACTAGCTACCTATGGAACATCTAGAAGTAATGTATCAATACAAATTTTTGCAACTTGAAACCCCGTTTCTATTCTTCTTGAACTTGAAGAAAAGTACAAGTTACATGAAGATCTATATATTTTTGACTGAAATGGCCCCTTGGTATGGAAGTAACGGCCAAGTAGTCATTTTTTTGTTGTTGACCTTTTTTTAAACGATGGTGTTAGGCCATTTTTGGGGCAATTTTTCTTCCTTCTTTCTAGTGATTTCTCTCAAGACAAAGGGATTTGTTTCTTCAATTTGGTCGCTTGTTAGTGATTTGTAACCTCCCGTTTGATTGTTGATTTATAATATAATCCGTCTGTTGATCACCCCAATTGTGGAATCATGTTAAATGCTCGTGTTTTGTAAGTTTATTTTCTTGCCATTACATTTGTTTTATCTTGGTATGTGTTGCTTTTATTGTTGGATATTGTTATCGTATCCATTTGATTGTTGGACTTTGCACTTGTTTATGGGATCAAGTGTTTGATATTTCTTCGGGATATGTTAACAACTCTTTCTTTTAGAGGGCAAAAACAATAAATAAAAATAAATTCTGAATTTCTACAGCTATATTTGTTTTGTACAAACAGGAATGTAAGGTTTTGTAGCCAAGGAACATCTAAAATTAACATATAAATACAATATTTTGACAGTTGACAACTCTTCTTGAACTTGAATAAAAGCATAAGCCACATAAATATTTATATCTGCTTCATGTAATTCCCAAGTTTGGAGCTATGTGGATGGAGTTTTGTCATCTGGTACCACAGATTCAGCATCAGGTACAAGTTGGTTTGGGTGATTGGGTTTTTTCTTAAGAGCTTGTCTTAGGCCAATAACAATAAACAGATTGGTCAAAGTCAGAAGTGATTCAGCACCACCATGTAACCAATCGACATTTGATAAGGAAGTTCCATAATGCACCTTAGCTGTGTTCAACAAGATTCACAAACTTCAAATCAAATATGTTTATTTTATAAGAGTCTTATTTGCAGTTTTTTAGGCCAAAGAGGAAATTACCATATATTCCTGCAGGGACTGGATGTGAAGAACAGAAGAGAAGCAAAAGAACACCACCATAAAGAAAATTTGTTAGACCAAATGAAGTTACTATCATTATGAATCATTTCACTTTGTATGTAAAAATGGCAGATACAACACTCCAATGGCAAAAAATAATACTGGATTTTCATAATTTTCCATCAATTGTGAAGCTCAAGCAAATGAGGATATAGAAATGCTTTGAACCATAGCACAAGCAAATCATTCTTCAGTAATATCATGCCAAATTTTATGAAAACAACCCATTTTGAGCATAATAAACCACGGATTTTTTATTGCATACTAACTATCGTTCTTGCTAAATTGTAAAACAACATGTTATTGTTACCAAAAATTAGTGATTTCAAACATCCATTGGAGGTGTAAATGCAAATTTTTATGCATTTTGTGTCTAAGAAAGATGGTGTTTGAGGATTGATAAGAACACAAGGTTAGGAAAATTCACTTGGTAATATTAACAAACACTTGGCAGGCAAGAAAATCCACAAAATTGCTAGAGCATACTAACGAGTAACGAGTACTATCAATATAAGAAAATTAGATAAAAAGGAGGAAACTTAACTGGTGGCACCAACAAAAGCAAGCAAGAAGTAAAAACCAAAAAGGGTAAGCTTCGGCGCGGAATTGGATCTGGTGATGAAGTACAAAAACCCAATGTACGGAAACAACGAGAAAGCAAAGAGTTGTGAAGCTATACTCTGTGAATCAATGGTGGGTGACCATGGATCTACTGGAAAAGGCAATCCGTTTACCACAAAATTACTTCGATTTTTCTCGGAAAGTTTAGCCTTTCTGAAGCAGTTGGCCTCTTTGATTCCATTGGGATAATGGATAGTAACTTTGAAATTGTTTGGAAACAGCGAAGAAGAAGAACCCAGTAAGATAGGATTACGGCAAACAGTCTGCAGACAGTTGATCATTGTGTTTGAGTGGTGAAGTGATTTAACGAGCTTTCTGAAAAAAACACGAGGCTACTTATCGTTGTTTCATTTTGTTTTTAGGAGGTTGTTCGGACTTGAGATTGGTCGTTTTAAGGAATAGGAGGTAATAGGCATGTCAAAAAGTCCATTGGGATCCCGTTCCCGTGGGGCCCTGTCCCGTTTGGGGGAATATTTTTAAAAAAATCGGGGGCGGGGACGGGGGCGGAGGCAAAGTTAACCCCCGTTTTAATTTCGGGGGCGGAGGCGGGGGGTAGGCAATCCCGTCCCGAAACCCCCATGGGGACCCCGTTAATAAATTACACATATATTTACATATATTAATTATATAAATATAATAAACAATAACATGATTTTGAGCTTCCAAAATTCATCAAAAAACATGTTTTTAAGTTGTTAGTATAATGTTTTTAAGATGTCATAACTTTTTTATTTTCAACATGTAAAATTATGCTATAAATAATTATTTGTTACCTAAAAAATAGCTTCTTTTAGCTTAAATAACAACTTCTTTTAGCCCAAAAAAAGGCAGCCCAAAATCAATCGGGGGCGGGGGAATGGGGCGGGGCGGGGGTAACAAAGGGGATTCAGGTACAGGGGCGGGGGTAGGAAGGCTGAACATTTCGGGGGCGGGGGCGGGGACGGGGGAACAGGGAAATTTCGGGGGCGGGGGCGGGGAATGCACTCCCCTTACCGTTTGCCCCCGTTGACATCCCTAGGAGGTAAGGGTGTTATCCGTTTAGTTTAGATTTGGTTTAATTGGTTTTTAGGAATCGTATATTATGGGTTATTTTATAGGGATATTGCAAAATGACCATTTGGCCCGGAACGAGGCGTTCCAGACCCGATTTCATATTCAGTTAAACTAAACAGGTAGATAATATTTCGACCCGGTAATATCCTATAAATACCATCTAACCCGTTTCGGACTAGATTTCGACATCCCTTGTTTTAGATTACCCTACATCTCAATCCGGACACCCCTATAACTGAAAATATCTTCTGATAGCAGTGACGAAATGGAGTTTTTATATGTAAGTTTCAAATTTGTTTCTAATTGAATACATTTATTTTATATTATACGTTAAAAAATGTTTAATTTACGCAATTATATAGGTATTATAGGGTTTTCTGTAAATTTTAATCATGTTAAGACAATTATAGGGTTACATGGACTTATATATTTATACTACATCATACATCGTTATCAAAAACCCTAATTTTCGCTAGTTCGGAACGTGTTCGGAATCCGAAATCATATCTAGAATTCGAAAACATGTTTGACATACAATGAACCGGGTCCGGAATTTTGGTCCGGAAATTTATGGTCCGGACTACCATACCGGATTTTTTGTCCGGAATTCTGGTCACGGAACATACATACAAAAATCTTTAATTAATAACTCTTTTGATTGTAGCATGATAGAACATACAAAGTGGTTGCTACTATAACCTGCAGACCTGAACTTGGGCGTAAAATCATGGCGCGCTTACATCATACAAAGTGGTTGCTACTATAACCTGCAGACCTGAACTTGGGCGCAAAATCATGGCGCGCTTACAAAACCGACCAGTTTGTGGGGCGATGTTTAGGCAGTCATGTTTTGGTGATTACGTGAACATGTCGATGGGTGTCGAATGTCACCATTTACTATGTCACTATCATATGTGCAAGGAAGTTACTACTTTTGATCCAGTTGACCTAGAAGAGCTTCTATTTCCGGTTTGCGACTATCAGGTTTGCTTTGACAAGTAATCCTTCTGCTTGGTCACCGGCTTGCGCTTCAGGAATTATTTCCATCCCAGTTCTTGTTTTGCAAAATTTAGAGAACATTTGTTTCCATTTGTACCGCTTTCACATTCGGTGAGTATGGCTGACCTTAAGAACATGTTCAATAACTTACTTCATCAATTAAGCAATAAAGACGTGGTGAGAGTCTCCCTGCTAGATATGCTAGAGCAAGGATTTTTGGGGAAATACCCGCGATAGCCAGTTACTAATAAACGTATGACACTCGTCTCTAATTTATAGGAGTTTAACAGGCATACAGTTTTTTACCCATATTATATCAAAATGATACTTTTTAGGGAAACTGGGTAATCTAACCATTATTAAGTGCAATTTTTTGACATAGGTACCCATGGGGTAGATTGATATGGGATTTCACTTACAAACAGATGTGTACTATGTTTGATAAGATTGAGGACCATTTGAACCCAAATGCGCCAAGAGTCGGCAGTAGACACACATATACTCTGGATTTGTCTATGCATTTAAGGTATGTACACTATGTTTAATAAGAGTTTTTAAACAACAAGTATGATAACTTTGTTAACTTGGTAAGTTGTTTGTCATCTTAATTTTGTAGATTTAGATCTTTGAGCTATTTCCTAACAGCAGTATAGATGGTTCCCATATACCCGGTGTTTATCCCTCGGGCAGGTGCATACCCTAGGATGAGACGTTTGCATGCACCTGATTGTCAATGTATTCTCGATGTTACTAGTGTATGTAGTGTAGTCCACCTTATAATATAATGAGTTTCTATGACATAAATAACTTAAGATTAACCTTTATATATATTTTTTATGCAGCATCCCCCCTCCCCCCCCCCCCCCCCCCCCAACGAGTTGTTGCAGCCTACTACGCAAGAGCGTGCTGCTAGGTGGTGGATTGAGAGTGTCCAGTGGATAGATGTTGCATATTATGTTAATGTTTGAGTTATGATTTTTTTTTTGTCAATGTTTTAAAACAATTTGCATTTGAAGATATAGCAAAAACAAGTTTATCCTTCCAAACAACATTTTGTAGAATATTATGATATCGTACAAACATCACTACAAGTTTTTTTAAATCAATAGGATCATACTGTTGGCTACCTTTTTGACTAGTATGTCTAATCTTAGACTTAACATTACTTTTGCCACTTGACTTGGTCCTACTTAAAGATTCACTGTTTGTTGTCTCTGCGGGAAACGGAGCATCATAGTTTCTGCTTGTGTGACTGATCCTTTGGTAATGACTACATTTTTTCTGAATCGGACCTTCACCTTGGGATGGGATATGGTTCTGGTTTTTAGGTCGTCCGACTTGTCGTTTGTCCATCAATGGTGGCAAAAAAACCATGACTTCATCCGGTTCTTCATATTTAGCTGGAACTGGAACAAGAAATACAACCTCGACATATGTTGATCGTTATGTTTCCATTGTGAAGTATGATGACACCCACGTACTGCAGTGTTGATATCTCAGTTCCTTTAATACCGCTATAGCATGAGTACAAGGTCTACCCGATAATTGCCATTTCCCACACGTCTAGTAACGACTTTCCAAGTTTAATATACCATTTTTCATTTGGTCAGTCACCTCATATCTGCTTTGATCAATCTCGTATACCAGAAAAGTAGAGGATTTGTTTATCCTCCCATCGATGACCTTCTCAGCATACTCAGTAACATCTTTTTTACTTTCAGCTATAACAAACATTTACGTATATGTTGTCATGCACAGTAAATTACACTACAATTATCATTAAAGTATTAAAATATAAGGAAACACTTACCTCCAACATTACGTCGATGTCACCACCATTGTTGCATAGTTGCTCGAAAGAAATCAATCAACATTGTTATCGGTAGTTTCCGTGCGTCTCTTGATAATGCATTGACGGACTTAGCACTGTTTGATGTCATAATATTGTACCGAACCATAGGGAAACACGACCTTACCGATCTCTCGTTACGGATTCTGTCTAGCCATGTCTGACATCATCGTTTAATGCACGACGTAGCCTGCCCAAGCTTTCTTTGAAATCAGACTCTCGGTAAGCCTTTGCAGCATCCCAAAACAAAATATATGTTCTCTCTTTCTTGCCGATCTTTGCTCTCATATTCATCATGAAACGTCCCAAAAATTATAAGATAAAATTTTCATTTTTAATTCAACCAAAAACACCAATTATCTTTTTCCAAACATTCAAAAGTATATCAAAATAAAACAGTTATCAGAGTACAATCTCAAAATCATCAAGTTGCGGAAACATGAGTGGATGCACTGCGATCAAGTCAGGCCCTTCCTTTTCGAACCGGAAGTACATGAAACCATAACCATAGAAACCATAAGCACAAAGCTTAGTGAGTTCCCCAAAATACCACATACCATACATATCAAACATATAATGGGCCCCACCCGACATCGAGCCCTGATCGGAACAGATTTGTCAGTCATCAGGCCCCGCCTAGGTCGAAGGCACCAAGGCCGACCCCTTTGGATTGTTATCTTGGTTTATCGCATGCTTGTATGTTGTAGTTATCTGTTAGATCTGTATCCTGGTACATAGGATGTTGTTGTGCTTAATGGTCTGTTAGATATGTATGACTATCTGTTATGCTAGCTAGGGTTTGATATGGTACATGTTGATATATAATAGTATGTTGGGTTGAGACGGTCCTGCTACGTGCTCAAGGCAAAGAGACCCAGGGAGTCCTGGATAGACTGTAGGCCAGTGGGGCGTACCAGTCAGGCCGAAGGCCTGGAGAGCGTTCCAGATAGACTAAAGGCCCGGTGAGCCGTACCAGTCATGCTGAAGGTTCTGTGAGCGTACTAGATAGACTGTAGGTCGGTGGGGCGTTCCAGTCAGACTGAAGGCTCTGTATGCATGATGCTTGTTGTTATTATTATGATTATGTATTGTGCTGGTACTTTGAGGGAACTCACTAAGCTTTGGGCTTACAGTTTTGGGTTATGTTTCAAGTACCTCAGATGATCACGGAAAGGCTAAGTTGTGATCATGCACCTCCTCGTGTTTGGATTTATGATTTTGGGAAAACTTTAATATTTAAACATGTTTTGAAAACTAAATTGTAAACAATGATGATTTGTGGATTGGTTTTTCAAAGTTTAAATTTTTCATGAATTTTATGTATGTTACAAGTTTGTATTAGAGCCTTGGTTTGAGTGAATTAGAGGAACACTCGTTGATTGATTGTTGTATGTGATATGTGTGTGTGTGTGTATATATATATATATATATATATATATATATATATATTATATCTTAATATTTTAGCCATTATTATTATTGTT